ACATATTTCACTGTAGCAGAAGAAACTTAAAACATGTTTACGTTTCGGAAAGTTACACAATTACTCTCACACAGGCGTGATAGATCTAATCAAAAAGTATAAAAGTCAAAGCCAAAGAACATAAGGAATAGAAAAAGGGTTATTATAGGGTTGGCCCATAAGTAACGGTTTTATTTTTCTTCCACAAATTTTTATATTAAAAACGAAAATCGTTCCCATTGTGTTCTATGCCGTTCGATAGATAATTTTTCGCTCTATAAGATCGTGTTATTGCATTCCTACGTTTCGTGATTTCTGTCAATTTTTATCCCATTGAAATGGAGTGTCGGGTCGACCCAAAAAAATAGTTTTTGACAATAACTTTTTGCACTTTATCTCGGCTCTAAAACTACAGGAGAAGTTCAAAACTTGTGATATATATGACCAAGGAAAGATGCTTCTCATGACAGCTCGAAGTTGGTTTAAGCAATGGAGGGATGGTAATTCGGACCTTGTAATAAGCATCGCATCGGGGGCCCTTTCGGGGTGCAACCGCTGCACAGCCTACCCACTGGCTTTCAAAGGCTTAACATCAACTGAAGGTGGTGCTTGATTATTATGAGGAAGCATTCCATGACCTCCAAAGATTCCCCACCCTTGGTATCAATCTCCATGAAGAGGTAATTCAGTAAGCTTTCAGTTGTACTCAGTTAGGCATTAAGGACGAGCTTGTCTGTTAAGTTGGAATCGAAATCTTTGAGTAGCCTGAACCTTCACAGGCATTTTTAAGGAATTCTCGGCCATATACTTAACAAACAGGCCTATGCTGTTTCAGCTTCTTAATTAAAACTAAAAAGAGACGCTGTCAAAAATGCCCAATTTCGTCGACCTGACACCCCATTTTTATTAGGGAAACAGAAACTTCAGGAAAACTAAGAGGAATACTGTGTAGGGCAAGAAGTTCTCTGCAAAATAGTATAAAACTCATTGGGGAAACCATCATTCTTTAGCGCAATATTTTGAGTGAGGAAAAACACCATTACTTATGGGCCAACCCAATACTTAACGTGTTATGTTGAGATCGTACCTCATCTGCATCCAGTATAGCAGCAAACTGCTTCAACTTTTGCTCCATTATACTTACATTTGGTATGAGTTTGTATACGATTGCGGACCAAGCCTGAAATTTTCTACAAATAGAATATATAAGCCAAAGTAGCCCAGCCTCCGAAAGGATTTCACCCATCAGGTTCAACAACCTCGCACGTGTACCATTTAACTCAAAACTAAGGGACAGGTGACTTGCTATGTGAAGCACAGTTCGCAGTCGTCGAATGTGATGACCCTCTATGTTAGAAAAGAACTTACTTTATACAGAGTCTCATCCCAGATGCTACTTCGGAAGCATTGACAGACAGCATGTGCGCGATCTGGACCAGCAGCCATTTCGGTAAATCGTAAAACGAGCGAAGCACGATCCTCAAATGTCTATAAAAACGATATAACAATCGTTAACACAGGAGTGTTTGCAATAAAATCGAAATCGACCTGATCTCGGTGATCCACTTCAATGAGATCCATCTTATGGATGAGGCAGAAAACCTGAACATAGCCGTATAATTCCTACAATTAGCAACAAACGTTTATAGTCGTGTTCCGTCAAATGATACTGGTTAACCTACTTAGAAGGAAACTGAAATTCTTCAGCCGCTGATTGGCAAAGGTTATACCTCGGCTTTAGAAAAAAGCTGCACTACCCACAACATTCCAAACTGCAACGTTTGCCGAACCATATCACCTGCATCGCCTGTTGCACCTGCGCAGTGGGGGACTCCAACGCCGTCTTCTCCACCGCGCGTTAGAAAACGGACCACATGTTTAGCCTGCTTTCGTAGACTCCTAGTCGCCGAGGCGTATGTTGAAGCAGGAAGGACCGCGACACCGAAGAGGTAGGCACGGAGACTGGTGTTCTTCGCCTCTTTCGCTACTGTTCTTGGGCTCCCCAAGCCGCTCGCTTCCTCCTGCTCAGCTCTGGTGCTAAGTCGTTCATCATATTGATTTCACGACCAGGTACACATAGCTAGAGCATTCAGAGATGGTCGTTCCGTTGAGCGTGAATGGGGCATCAGAAACCAATCCGTTCCTCATCAACATCGTCTTCTTTAGATTCAGCTGCACCGGTTTCTTTCACACGCGCAGCCGAAATCAACCAGCATTCGCTTCCTTGCTTGATGTTCGGTGTTATCAGAACGATTTTGTCAGAAAAGCAGAAATGGTGTAGTTGCCGGACGTCTACTTCCACTCCCATGTCCTCCCATTTCACTTGACGCATGCTTGCCCGAGAGGCGCTGAAGTGTTCGGGCGAAATGGTGTCACCCTGTTGAATCCGACTTTTCAAGTCAGTAGTGATCCCCTCGTAACTGGCAAAATACCGCTCGTGAAGTTATTGCAGGGCTCAAGAAGGAAGCTTATATCCAGTGCCATGACAGGCTTTGAATGACCTCCCAGCAATACTTTTTTTCCAAAGCTGTATCCCATTGCTGTGTGCGGTGAAGGTGAAAATTTGTGCTTCTCAAAAAAGGACAACGCTTACTCACTCAATATCGCACATCCACTGTGCAAAGCTTGCAAAGTTGAACAAGAGAAAAATAGGATGAAAATTTGGAGCGAAAAATCAAAGTAAATAAATTCCTACCTGGGCATTCGGCGAGTTATGCAGTAGAGCTTCAAGACAGGATTGGTAATAACCCAGATCCTTTTCAAATTCTCTACTCTCAACATCAAAAACGTAAATTAACACCTGAAACACTTCACTGATATTCGCCACCAAAGAAATAAAAGACGCCAAGACTGGTATACCCTATAATTACTCACCTGAACATTTTTGAAAATCTGATCTTTTTGTGAAGACAGATAGTTGTTCATGAAAGTCTCCTGACCACCACAATCCCACAAGTGTAAAACAAGGTTTCCGAGGAAACTGAAAGTATGACAATCTGCGTAAGAGGACTTCTATGAGACCCAGTGAGGGCAGCACAGAGGGGACTTGCAGTTTCGACGGTCTTTTCCTGTTATGAGTTACATTCTTGTTCGCCGCAGATGATGGGGCATATCAAGGGGTGTACGTTTGCAGCGTTCCAAGCCCGTTTCAGCTTTTCCTTTTCTATCGGCAAGCGAAAAAACTGCATCATATCCGTATGAGTCGTTTCCCACCAGTTGTTGTCGTCTACACGCTTCAACGACTGGTAGAACAGGCTGGCGATGCGCCAAACGCGTCCTCAATGACACGCCCCATCATCCGCAGCGAACAAGACTGCACTCAGCATAGTGGCTTTGGTAGTTCAACTTCACTGTCCACAAAAGACAATCATGGGCTCCACCATTCAAACACAATTGAAATAAGCCAACACCC